ATTAATAATGTATAAAAATTGACATCATAAATAAAAATGAACATTTCTAATTTACTAATAATACATAGGTTTGCAATTTTTAATCTACATGGATTCAGATATAGTAATATAGTTAAGAAAATTTAAATATTATATACATGTGTATATTCAACACCTACATTAATACTAATTTTTGTATTATTTTTGTATTATGATTATATTGTATTATTGAAATTTTTCTGTCAGAATATGTCGTATACATCTGTACAATACCAATTATCAATTAATATAATTACAATTTAATGCCAATTGAATAGACTTATACTAATTATTGTTTGTATGACTTATAATTTTAGTTGATGATTTCTATATATGTGTGATTCCTTTTATTATCTTACCAAGTGAAAAACTCAGATGCTTTACAATTTATGTTCAATAACTAATTATCAATAAAAATATTTACAACATAAAGAGATTATATTTTGAAATGTATTAATATTTTTTTATATACGCGTTATTAAATGATTTAAATGGATAAAGTGCACTATTAATTGCGTTACTATTCAGACTTCGCTAAGTCCTTTATTATGAATAATTAAATATCATTTTGTAAGAAAATGCTTTCTATATAATTAATTTACTTTATAACATATAATTAAAGAAGAGGAAAACTGTTCCGAATTAAGACGTTTGATATAGTTATGTATTTGAAAAAAAAACAAATAAAATGTTTCTTCGTATAAAAAATATATAATTATTTAACTAAATTAACAAAACAAAGAAATATAAATTTTCATAAACACTAAAAAACACATTGCCCGATTACAGTTCCTAGCTTTATAATTTTTCTTACCGCAAATATAGTAAAATAGTTAGTACTCCGTAAATTTTTGTATCACATTTAATAAATTACAATTATATGAAATAGTTTTTAATACAATTTTATATTTGATTGTATATCTTATGATGTACTAGTATTATTTCATATTATCTCCGAGTTCAATTATAAGATATTCATATTCGTAATTATAAAAACGTAAACTATTGTTAAATGTGCACGAGCGTCGATATTATTTACTCTTTCGCTAATTAATTTAATATCGTCTATTTAGTAATTTACCTATTTAGTAATTTAAAATTAAGAAAATGAAAAATCAAATTAAATTAATTAAATTATATACATATAATACCTAATATAAAAAACTTATTCAATTATAGTTTGTGCATAATATTAATTAATAACATAACAAATTGATAAATTGTTTTTAAAATAATTATATTATGCATGTTTTTCTTAATTTTATATCATTTCAGATTAATGAATGAAATATTTATGATTAATTATATGTAATGAACAATTAATTGTCAGCACTAATGTACTATGTATTTTTACTTTAATAAATTTAATGTATTTTTTTATGAATTTTAATGAAAGTTTAAGATAACTAATCAGTTTTCTTATATATATAATAATTTTATTAATTGAAATTCAATATCTATAGCTTATTACACATGCGCTTATACGCATGCATGTACACACAGATTTGAAAAGATGTAAAACAACGTTCACGGTACTATTAAAATTGTAATTGATATTTATTTATCCTGAAAATGTTTAAAAAAAAAAAAACTATTCACTTTGTTACATGACGGACATGAGAAATATCTGGGTTTATATCTTAGATGCTTCTTATCTTTTTATTACTGTAAAAATTAGTAAATTTTCAAACAACATTTATAACATATAGAATAAATAAAAAAAATTTTTAAATAAAAATTCAAATAAATTGTTAGAAATTTACGTATGAAGATATTTAAAACGACTTGTTATATATACATTACACATTAATAAATGTGTTTTGATTGTTAGTGTTCAAGTATTATTTTTATTATGTAATTTGCTACTATTTTCCATAATATTATTGATTAACAAAATAGAATTTAAGATATCAATAGATTTATGCATTCGTATACAAAGATTTAATTTACTATATTAATATAATTATTAAAAACCGATATTTATTAACTAATAATGCTGTTATTATAAAGCACGAATAATAGTCTATTAAAAAATTATGCGTACTTATAATGAATTTTTCATCATTAAAGGACTATAAATTTGCCTACAAATTTAGTTAGGACATCATTAGGCATTATTGACGTACTCTAACATTTGAATATGAAAATTGAAGCCCTGTTACTTTCTTATTTAATTATTTAACTTTTTTAGTGTAATTTGCCATTTCCATAAGTCAAAATAAAATACGTTCAATTTGTTGCGATTTTTACTGAAAAATACAATGATTTTTATTTATTGACTTTTCTAAAAACTTTGAATCAAATATAAATTCTATGATGTAACATTTAAATATCATTCTATTTTACTTAATATTGTTATTAGTATAATATAATAAAATTAATTAATTAATATTTATAGTTTCGAAGATTATTCAGCTTATACTTGAATGTTACATGACTCGGTAAAGGCAGATTAAAATATTAAGACAAAACTTTTTTTAAATGTTTAATCCTTGTATATGTGAAATTTCAATACGTGAAATCCATCTTATTTAAATGACAATAGTATCGCACTGTATGATCTAAATACCAAAGGGGTTAAAAATATAAATTGAAACTGGTGTTTTATGTTAATATGTGATAATGATAAATATACACATGGAAAATTCGTGTAGAGCATGACAAAAGTTAATTAATAATATTGTACGTAAAGTACGTTGGACAATATATTTTATAGGTATTTTGCAAATATTGGAAAATAATGAAAAAAAAGCAGCATTATTTATTTATAATTGATTCGAAAGTCATCTATTGAGAAAACTATTTTTTTTTTGTTTTTGTTTTTGTTTTTTGTTAATCTGAAGATAGTAAAAACAAAGTATATTCGTTCTCGGCAAGAGATACAGAGTTTATCCAGGCGAATGTCTGATTATACAGCTTTATCTGTTTTTAATTTTTTTTTTTATTGAAAAATAAAAATAAAAAAATAATTACGAATCGATCGGGGCATCGGCGCTGCGATTACAAAGAGCGCGCTTCATAAAAAAAGGGGGGGGGGTGAATATTTTGGAAAGGATGAAAACAAAGCGCGTCGAGAGGCTTTGCGCGGATGCCTAGAATTGCGGACATGATGGGAAGAGCGAGGTGGATGATAGGTAGGTAGGGTGGGAGTGAGGGACAGCGGGAGGGTGGGGAGCGTTAGGTAGACAGGAAGGGCCGGAGGGAATGAAAATCGACAAAGAATGACGTAAGAGTTTGGTGGTACCATGGCGGCTCTGCACGTGGCGGTGATAACGGGGCACGCGGCCTATGGCCTCTAATGCTTTTCGATCAAATTGACGAGCGCAAATGTGCGCGTGAATGTAGTCGCTCCAGGCCGTCGATGGAGTGGCTGTTACGGGGGTTATGAGTGGGAGGGTGTATATATAGAAGTCGAGGTTGTTGCGCAAATGCAACTGTTGCATCGATAATTTATCATGGTGCCGGGTGTGAAGATGACAATAAACGATTGTTTATCTGAAAAATCTTTGGACAGCCACTTTTTATTAAAAATCATAGTTTCGATTTTTCAGGTTTTGAACATATGAGGCGATTTGCGTTGCTTGGCTGTAAGGAAAACAAAGAATTGTGCGGAGAAGACAGTAGCTCGAAATAAATTCAAATTCGATCGGCAGAGCGCCTATTTAGCTTCGCCACTCGCTCATCGTTCACCGACTAATTTCGCAAAATTTCAATCGAGTGCGTAGCTATAAACATCTCATTAATTTACTTTAAGATGCCTTATTTTCAATGAGCGAGCCCCGCCAAGATGACGTCTTGTTTTCATCGTCATTTCCGTTACTTGAAATACAGGCCTCATGGGTGTACTCGAAGAAGGTAAAATAATTACCAGATTGCTACGCAATTCGTAATGTAATGTTACTTGTCGAGCCAATTATGCCAATTATGAAAATACAGCTTTCAACATAGTTTTAAGGGCAGGCAATTGAAAGATTGGTATAAAGATTAATCGTATTATTGGATATAATTTAATTGATAAGAATGCATCTAATACGCATGAAATAACATGCCAATGTAAATACATGAGTCAGCGTGGGCAACCAATTTTCGCTATTTCCACTGATAATGAGCCAAGATTCCAACGACAATCTACGGTTCTCGCGGTCTCGCGATCTTCCGGACACGCACACTTCACAGCGGAATAAAAAGGATGTCCCCCACCTCATCACCCCCCGCCCCCGCTTGTCGTGGCAGATCTTTTATTAAGCTGCTGTTGAACCAAATAAAGGAGGATGGATGGATGGATGGATAAGTCCCAAAGCTCGGGGATTCGAGGCCCCGTGTACATCGGCCAGTGCACTCGCGCATTCGTACGTGTGTGGGAGTTGCGTGAGCCGCGTGAATGAGCATCGTGGCTGTCGGCGACTATAAAGAGACGACTGTTCTCAGTCGTTGGAGGGGCATGGCAGGGGAGAAATTAGTAGAGGGGAGTGCGCTATGAAGGAACGAAAGAACGAAAGAACGAAAGAAGGATGGAACATCTGAGAAAGCGGACAGATATGCGTTTGGCGATAGCAGTAGCAGTAGCAGCAGTAGCAGCAGCAGTAACAGTAGTAACAGTAGTAACAGCAGGAACAGCAGCAGCAGCAGCAGGAACAGCAGCGGCGACGGTGACGGTGACGGTGACGGTGACGGTGGCGACCGCGTCGGTGGTGGCGGCAAAAGCAGCAGCGGCTGCATGTCGGGAGCGAGGTGACGAGGGGAACTGCAATAGGAGAGAGAACGAGCGAAGAGGAGGTGGAGTAAAAGTTGAAACGACTGCGGCTGCGGTACCGTACAAGGGAAGGCGCGCACGGCTAAAAAGAATGCGAGAGACGAGGAGAGGAGCGGAGCTTAGGCGCGGAGCCGCCGACGAGGGAGAACAGCGTTTTAACGGCAAGGGGAAGACGGGGGGTGGGGAGGGGAGCAGGCTACACAGGAGGTAAAAAAGGATCATTACTCACCTTGTGGTGCTGCATGATGGCAGTGGCCTTTCGCTTCGCGGACATTTTCAAGCTTGTCCTCTCTCACGAATCGAGTGGAAAATCTTCGATCCTCGTTCCTCTTCTCTATCTTTCTCACAGGTCTCTTTCTCTCCTTTCCTCTCCCTCGCCCTGTCACTCTGTCTCTGTCTGTCTGTCTGTCTGTCT